TTTTTGCTGAGGGTTGTTTTGGCTATTTGTGGTTGTTTATGTTTCCATATGAATTCCTGTATTGTCATTTCCAGGTCTGAGAAGAATGCTGCTGGTAATTTAATGGATATTGTGTTAAATCTGTAGATTGCCTTGGGTAGGATGGACATCTTAACAATGCTGATTCTTCCAATCCATGAACATGGAATATTTTTCTATTTGTTTGTGTCATCTTTGATTTCTTTGAGAAGTGTATTGTAGTTTTCGTTGTAAAGGTCTTTCAAGTCACTGGTTAGAAAAATGCCAAGGTATTTAATTTTTTTGTGGCTACTATGAATGGAATTGTGCTTTTTATTTGGGTTTCTGTTTGTTTATTGTTAGTGTATAGGAATGTGACTGTTTTTTGCACATTTATTTTACATCCTGAGACTTTGCCGAAGTCCTTGATCAGTGCAAGGAGGTTTGTGACAGATTCTCTTGGGTTTCTGAGGTATAGAATCATGTTGTCTGCAACAAGGGATAACATAACTTCTTCTTTTCCTATTTGGATACCCCCAATGTTCTTCTCTTATCTGATTGCTGTAGCTAGGACTTCCAATACTACATTGAAAAGGGGGGGTGAGAGTGGGCATCCTTGTCTTGTTCCTGTTTTCAGGGAAAATGGCTCCAATTTCTGTCTGTTTAGCAGTATGTTGTCTGTGGGTTTCTCATAGATGGCGCTTACTATTTCTAGGTACAAAAACATTCATTTTTAATGTCTTCATAATATTCAATTCCATTGATCGATCAAAATTTACTTTAAAAATTCTTTCTTATTTGAATTTACATTACCTGAAATGTTTTGCTATTCTTAATAAAATTGTGATTAGTATATGTCTATATAAATCTTTATGATTATTTCCTAGTGATACATTTTGAAACATGGCTTCTTATTATTAAATTTTGAATTTGCTGATACAGGAAACAAGTACTATAAAATATTATTGAAATAATTTTTTTAATTGAAAGTTTCCTCAGAAGTCAAATAAGCCAACCTCCTTATTTTACAGCTAAGAAAAACAGAAGAGAGAAAGGGTTGAGCTCCAGGTGTTGCAGCAATTTAGAAAGAGAGCTAGATTGACTACAGGGGACTTTAGTAGGATGAAACCATTGCAAATAAACTGAAAACACAAATGGCAGGGCTTGGCATCCAAGTACAGAGGTGTAGGCATGGGTGTGGCAGGCAAAGGAGATGGCAGGAAGGCTTGGGCAGTTGATGACAGACAAGTGAGTAAGCAGACCCACAAGTGTGTAGAGGGATACAGACAACTCTCTCACACTTGGAGAAGGATTTGTTTCTATTGTTAGTTTTTAGCGGTCCAATAAAACTTTATTTACATAGAATGGATGGCAGGCAGCTTTGGCCTGGGGGACCCAGCAAACCCTGCTCCCCTCGGGATGGATTTTCTTTTGTGAACATGCACCGTTAAGGTGTTCCAGACTCTATTTAGTTTTTTTTTTCTTTGTATGTTAAAATAATGGTATGAGGTTGAGATGGGTTTTTACAAAATTGATACATAATAATTGTATAATGTTTGGGATACATGAGATATTTTGATACATGTATATAATATGCATACATTGTGAGCATACCCCAAATCAGGGTAATTGAGATATCCAACAAGAGGTATTTATTTTTAAGTGTGGATAGGGGGATTCTGGAAAGAATCTTGAGGTGTTAGATTAAAATTGGAGATCCTGGCAGGAACTTATGGTTTAAAATATATACACAGATAGATACAGAAACAGTTATAGATGCATGCATGTATGTATATATACACACGCTTGTATGTGTATAGTGTATATAATTATGTTCATGTATTGCACACATACAATACACACATTTCCTAGGTCTGTCCACTGAGAAGTCCCAAAAGAAATGACACCCAGTAGCAATGAGCCCAGTCTCGCCATATCCTCTTTCACTAAAGAACACAAGGCTTCCAAGTCAATGTGAGATCTGGGTGCAGGGAAAATAGGAAATGCACCAGGAACATCTTATTGTGTCAGAAGGCAAGACAGAGCTCAAAGAATGGTGAGGACATGTCAGAAGAACAAGAGATGCCCTGAAGGGACTCCCACTGGCCAGATCTGGAACCATTTGCACATCTAAGTAATAAAAGTGTCAAAAGACAGTCTGTTAAAACGAGTCCATACTGATATAAACATACACACACAAGCACATGTGTGCATGCATGCATGCTTGCAGAAATGCGAGGTGGAGAAGGAAAAGCTCTTCCTGGCAGTAGAGCACCAGCTAATAAACACAACAGGAATGACAGAAGTAGGAGCTTCCTGTTCTTACAGTGGTGGCTGGTTCAGAGAAAAGCTGACAATGGATGCTAATTTATGGGTGAGATTTGATGAGAAATACACCATGGGGGGTGCTCTTAAAACACAACTCTATAAAATATTACTAATCAGCTAAAAAGGAAGAAGTCAGGATTTTATGGCAGGGAACCATGGCTGAAAGCAAAGAAACAGAGAACCACAAATGACAGCCTGGGAGAAGGTATTTGCAAGATTATAAGAGTCAAAGAATAAGAGTTCCTCATACACAAAGAGCTCCTGCAAGTCAACATCTATATTCTAGTCCAATTTTAAAAGGGCAAAAGATTTGATCAGGCCATTGAGATAAGATACATAAATGGGCAAACAAACACTGTCAGAAGTGTTTATCCTCACTAATAATCAAAGAAATATGGAATGAACAAAATAACATTTTTTAAAACCTGATAGCCTGGAACAAAAGAGAGGTTGATAACATGCCTGGCAGTCTTGTCACTGGCATCACAAGGCTTGCCACTTAGAAAAGAAATTAAGGCACTTTCTGAAGGGATATCACTTGCAAAATGGCTAGAAAACATGTCAGTGATTTGCAAATAATCTGTTATATGTGAAGGGGGACCCTCAAAAACCAGAATCTATTTATAAAAAATTGAGTATTTATTCTTACACATTCAAACTTTAGTCACCTTCAACCTTCTCAAAACTTCCAGATAAAAACTTTGGTTTTGCATCATGATTTACAAAAGAAACTTCCTGATTTGTGGCAAACAGGTGACTGGTCCTTCCATGATGACAATGCACCTGCCCACATTTGCCCACACCACACTGAGTGTTTAGCAGTTTTTGACCCTCCCTATTCACCTGATCTCACCTCCAGTGACTTTTATTTGTTTCCCTGATTGAAAAAGTATTCAAAGGGAAACGTTTTACTGATGTGAAAGAGGTGCAACAAAAAACAGCTAAAGCGCTAAAAGGCATCAAAATGGATGAGTTCAAAAACTGTTTTGAGCAGTGGGAAAAGCATCTCAATAAGTGAACTTCATTCAACAGAGAGGACTCTGAAGGTGCCTGAAGTTTAAACGTGTAAGAATAAATACACAATACTTTATAAATAATTTTCTCATGGGTCTCCATACAGAGGACAAACATACCTCGTTTGCTAATGTAAAAACACCCTTTGGTGTGGAGAACACCCTCCTATGTTCTGTTGATAATTAGCACAAATGACCATGTACTCAAGTATGAATGGGAAGTGACAAGGAGACTCCTAATGTGACGAAATCAGAGTCTTGGTTCATGTCGATACATCCCATTCATTCAGCACATGCCTGAGTGCCTTCTCTAAACCTTAGCAACACTGCCCAGCACCCACTAGGATGCTCTACTGCTCATGCATTCACTTGACAAATACTTACTGAACATCTGCTTTGTGCCAGAGCAGAGATGAGGGCTGAGAACATGGGGGAGGCACAAGGACACGCCAACCCTGCAGACAGAGGCTCACACCCCACTGAAAGAAGAGCAACTGAACATTTTAAAACTGAGTCCTGGGAAATAGTAGTGAATCTGAACATCAAAATTTGGGAAGAAAAAAGCAAAGCAATAAAGGTTAAAACTTATTTTTCCAGGCATGATTCATCAGACACACACACACACACACACACACACACACACACACACACACACACACATACACACACAAAGAATCTCAAGTATGGTCTTGAATAAGTTGGAGCATACTGCAGACTATAATATATAAGTGTTACAATCTACAGAATGCTTAAAAACACGCAAAGCAAAACCAAGTCTTTCTGGTACATCCATGCGCAGTAAGAGTGTGAGACGCGGAAGGCAATCCAGCCCCAGCACGGGACACTCCCCAGTCCTGGGATGAGGAGCCGAGTGATGGTGAACCCAGGCCTGGGAGTGGCCCCAAGCCCACTATGCCTCTTAGGCTGGGTGGGGGCACGGGACATTGATCCTCTGACCATTTAGCCCTTTTCATGTATTTGAACTATCTCCCAATACATTTTCTAAAGAGAAAGATGGACAACCCAAGTTGCTGGTTAACAGCTGATAAGAAAGGAATCAGAGCAAGAACTCAGAACACCTTTCCAGTCACTGACTTTCTACTTAAGAACAGGCTTTTGGTGGGCTTGGTCCCTGGAAGGCGGAACACAGTCCCATGACAGTAGGCTCAGTCCTGGGATGATGGAATACAATCCCACGACACAGGCTCAGTCCCAGGATGGCAGAACACAGCCCCACGACACGCAGGCTCAGTCCTGGGATGGCAGAACACAGTCCCACGACACAGGTTTGGTTCCGGGACAGCAGGACACAGCTCAATGACACACAGGCTCAGTCCCGGGACAGCAGAACACAGTCCCACCACACACAGGCTCAGTCCCAGGATGGCAAAACACAGTCCAACAATACACAGGCGTCACTCTAGTGGATGGAGCTGGGGGTGCCATCAGCAGGGCTAAGAGATCATTTCCGCATTTACACTCCCACTGAACCTGAATGAGGTGACCCTGGCCTGTGTGTCTGGACATGAGACATGCCGTGGACCGTGGAGATGCTGAGCTAGAGCGTCTGTGACTTTTAGGGCCCCTGGCATCCCTGTGGCCACAGTGCAAAGGGTGTAGGCAGTTTATGTCTAGTGTTTCACGTGGCATCCCCAGACATACCTGCTGCTCCAAGGTGCTGGGGTCGATGAACGTCACCAGGTCTACAGAGAAGTACCCGACCACAGCCCTCCTCTGGCAGGCTCTTCCAATCTGGAGGCACAAGTGGCTGAGCACCTGGGGGTCCACGGAGGCCTGGGGCATGGTGGTGCCTGAGGAGACTAAGGGGCCATCGGCGTGGAGCTGGTCTCCCGTGGACAGCACGCTGATCTCCCCGCTGGGCTCTATCAGCATGTCCACCGTCAGGTTGGTGATACTGTCTGCAGGTGGGAATGCCTCAATCACGCCCCCTGGTGGGAAAAGCACAGAGAAGGTGAAAGGCGCGTGCACCTGACTGTGCCCACCTAGAGCGGGGAGCAGCCCAGGCACCGGATGCGGGCTCAGGTTCTGCCCCCACCGTGTCTGGGGAGCCCGTGGCAAGTTCCTTCAGCTGTGACATGGGCACCGCCAAGCCCGCCGCGACGGAACACGGGAATCTGAAGGCTCTGCATCTGCAGGGTTCAGACCGGTGCTTGGCACATAGAAGGCACAGGGAACAGGGGTGGTGATTCTGATCATCACTGGGAAGACACTGTGAAGGTCAGTGAGCCTATGCCCACTGACTAAGTACACAATGGATCCAGAAATTATGGTCAAGATCTCAGGGGGACTTAACTTTTGCCCACAGTTTGTATCTTGAGGACTTTTTGTGTGCTCGTTTTGATAAACTTCTCTTCTCTCAAAGGTTTCACAGGCTTGGGCTTTTAGTAGGCAGGAAGGACACTGACCGGCGTGTCAAACAAGGGGATCCTACATAAAGCTAGTTGCAAAACATTTAAGAAGTATAGATCCAGGACATGCCACCATTATTGTGGAAAGGGCATGATTTCTCCTTGCCAACATTGAGAGCTTTATAATTTATTATATATTACCATTTGCTCTGAATACCAAGAGTCACAGAGGCAGAGCTGAGACAGCCTCAGCAACAGCATCTTGAGGCCTGTATGGGCTAGATCAGCGGTAGCCACAAAAATGCCACAGCCCAGATTCTCCATCTTGGGGCCTCACTTGCAAATCTTACTGTATATGTTCCTTGTATAGAGAAACAATTTATCATGGGTAAAGTGCTAGGTAACTTAAAAGTAAAAACAACAATGTGCTCTGTAGACAGGGTGGCCTCTAGACCCTGACAGCATGAAGATAAACTTGGTCTCTAGTTCAAATGTGCTGGGGGGGGGTGGCCCCAGCCTGTAGATAGAAGCCACCAACTTTGAAAAGCACACACAGTGCAGTGCTTAGAGTCAGTTTTCTTTTTTTTTTTGAGTTGGAGCCTCACTCTGTTGCCTAGGCTGGAGTGCAGTGGCATACTCATGGCCACCCCAGTGTCGACCTGCTGGGCTCCAGTGGTCCTTCTGCCCCAGTCTTCCAAGTAGCTGAACTATAGGCACGTGCTACCACGTCTGGCTAATTTTTGATTTATTGTAGAGATGAGGTCTTGCCAAGTTGCCTGGGCTGGTCTTGAACCCCACAGGCTCAGGCAATTCACTCGCCTCAGCCTCCCAAAGTGCTGGGATTACAGGCTGAGCCACCGAGCCCGGCCTTCAGCAATTCTTAAATGCAGTCATCTGTTGCTTCATACAAAAGACTCTTTCCCTAAATGTCTATAAATCTGGTCAGAAGTGGTCCAAGTTTCAGGAGGAAAACAGATTTTGGAGGGTATATACTCCATCCCTAATTTATCCATTTGGTTGACTTGAGATGTTCTTTTTCTGGAGATGAGGCCTCTTGGTGTGTGCTGTACCTAAATGCCAGTTGCTGGGGACTTAGCAAGGCAAGTACAGTTAGACAACAAGAAGGAAACCCACAAGGCTCTCTGGTGTAGGTAACTTTGTGGTTGCAGCTTGATCTGTTTTGAAAGACAGTGCTTCAGTGGAAACAATTGTCCTTTATAACCCACACGTTTATTCCAGATATTTTATTTCAAAGTAGCATATTTGTACTGTTTTCTTAGCATCATGACCATAATCTTTTTGCTGTTAATTTTTTCCTTTCAAAGAAATTAATTCTTCTTCTAAAAAAGTACTGCCTTTGATATAGTCCTATAACAATTTAGAAATCAAATCGGTGGCATACTTTGTGGCCATACATACACCTGAGGGCATAAATGAAACAAAACAGGCAGTAGTGGTAGCTGGTGGGAGACGTTGACCTTAGCGTCAGGAAAGCTGGGGCCACCTGGGCTTAGTCAGGGGACATTTATGCAGGGCCTGCTGTTTGCACTGGGCTTGGGGCCAGGCAGAGGCTTTGAAAACACATGACTTAAAAGAACTAGGCTCCTAAACGCAGTAAAATCGTTGACTCAGACTGTGTCCCATTCACCACCGACTTGTGTGATTTTGCCAAGTCGCCTCTCATCTCTGAGCCACGGTCTCTGCATCTGTAACGTGGGGTGAATAAAGCATATCCTGCCTCCCACGAATGAGCACAGTGTTTGCAAGATGGATGAGGAACAGGCACTCACATGGCAGGGGGTTCAGGGGAACCCCTGGGGTGGGGTCTACAGCTCACATTAGGCCGTGGTGGGAAAGACCCTTCCCACCTGCCCAACTCACAGGAAGAGAACTTGTCTGGAGGTAGGCTTTGCAGGCTGGCCCTGAAGATCTAGAAACTTCCCAACACTCGTCCTGGGCGGACCTGGAGGTCGTCAAGGTCTTCCCCTCCTAACTTAAAAAATCCCTTATTCCTAATCGTTTTTTGTGGGTGCTACTGACTACTCTTCATTTATGCATGGGGTTGACTTTCCTGCACGTGGGAATGCATGGAATCAGAATTTTAGGGTTGAGGGAGCGTGAAAGTGATGTAGCATGACCCCCTGACCCCCCAAGAACCCCTTTCTGGCATTGCTGGTGGGCTGGTGTCCGATCCCAGGCTAAAACGATTCATCAACAGGGTGTCCAGTATGCCCTCCCCAACCATGGATTCCAACAACCGGCAGAGTTGTCCTTCCTAATCCCCTCTCACACTAGCTGAGGCATGCTCCCTGGGAATATACCTCCTGGCTCTGGCTGCCTTTCATGGGCTCTCCTATGTGCTGGCGAAGTGATGTGGGATAAGCGAGTCTTTTGGACTTCAGAGTCTACATCTGCAAGATGAGGGTGATGATGGCACCATCTTGCAGGACCAAACACATTGGTGTGTGTCCACTGAGGACAGCGCTGGCCCACAAGAAGCACCGTAAATGTGGTTATTGTCACCACTCGATGGCAGTGCATAGAGTCCTTCTGTATTTGCTTTGCTAACCCTCCCTCGCCGTTGTGTGGGCCAGTGTCTGAGAAGGGCTGCCTCATGTTGTGAGGCCACTGCATGGGGTGCTCTGGTAGCACCTGCCCGGATCCCTCTGCCACTAGAAATTGGCCCCGTTCCCTCCATCAACCCTGGTTCATGGACCTCCTGATGCCGCAGGACGAGGGAGGAGGAGGAGGAGGAGGAAGAGGATGAATGGAATGGATGCTGGCCTTGGTCCTGGCCTGGAGGGGCCCCTGCTTGGAAATGCACTTCGGAACTGGAGTGAGCCCATGTCTGACCTCCTGGAAAACAGAGGGGAAAGTGCACATGCTTCAACAAGCTCTATTTTGCATCAGGTTCTGAGGGAGAGACTTGCACACCTCTGCATGTCATTGACTCCTCCCACCAACGCCGTCCAAGGGCAAGTGAGGAGGCTGGGCCTCTGAGGTCTTGGGAACCTTGCTCAAGTCATGGGCGAGTTCACACCAGGCTGTCCGGTTCCAGAGCCTGCCTCTCTCAGATGCCTCCCGTGGGAGAAAAGGACAGAATCCAAGCTGCGCATGTCACACATGGTGTCTGGCTTCCCACTGACTTCAGAGGCTGGGTGCAAGATCAATCCTGAGGCACCACTTCCCAGAGCAGACTGCGGGGTCGCTCTCCTGAACCAACACTGGAGAGGCCAGGGCTCTAAACCGGCCCCAGGTGACCCCAAACTGGAACCTGAGGTAGTGCAGACTCATCCCCAGTAGAAACTGTACAGTCTTATTTACCTTGACTGAGAAATGTTTGGAGGAATTTCCTCCACGTCGGGAACCGTTTCTCATTGACTGGCTGTGCGTGCTGTGCTAAAATGCCCGCCAGCTCCTCGGAGATCTTCACCAAGGCTGGCTCCTGCAGAAACAAATTAAATAGAACCACAAGCAATTTTACTACAGAAATGAAAACTGCTTGCGGAGTGATTAAAAACCAGACCTCCAACAGGCAAAAAAATGTGGTTACTGTTTACCCAGAATCAGAAGGCCATTGTGAAAATTTTCTCTATTTTCCAGTCATTTCTGTGTTCATATTTCAGTGGTTTGGCCCCTAAACACTGTTGCTGGCTGTGCTTGTTGCCTCTGAAAGGCACCTCTGTCTGTACCTCAGGAAACCTAGGATTCAGACCCACTGCGGCCTGACCAGCAAAGTGTCCCTGAGCAATGCACCTCCCCACTCAGGTCCTCAGTTTCTCTTAATATAAAATGTGGGATTAACTGTCCTGTTCTTAAGATGCTTCAGACAGGGGCCTTTTTTATTTCATGCCCCTTACAGGGCTCGCCCTGGGAGGAATAATGGACCTGGGAGGATTTCTTGTTGTACCCCTATTTCTAACCTCAGCCTCTCCTCCTTGGTGGTGGATACCTCGGTGGTGGGTACACGACTTTTTGTCAAAACCTTACCTGACAGCCGGGCTCAGTGGCTCAGCCTGTAATCCTGTGCCTTTGGGAGCCTGAGGTGAGTGGATTGCCTGAGCCCGCGGGTTTGAGACCCGCCTGGGCAGTGAGACCTCATCTCTACAATAAATCAAAAAATCAGCCGGGCGTGGTAGCGCATGCCTGTAATTCCGGCTACTTGGAAGGCTGAGGCGGAAGGATCGCCGGAGCCCAGCAGGTCAAGGCTGCGGTGGCCGGGAGCGGCTACTGCCCTCCAGTCTGGGCGACAGAGTGAGACTCCAACTCAAAAAAAAACCAAAACAAAAAAAACAAAAACCTTACCTGACAACTGGGGCTGTGAAGATGGGTCTTTCAGTGGAGCTGGTTTAGAGGAGTCAGCTGGGAAGGAGGACTGGGCTGGCTGAGTCTGCCTGAAATTCCTCCAGCATGCAGCTTATCTGTCTAGATATCTGCAAGGCTGGCCCCAACCACTAGTAAAATGACCCAAAAGCCACAGAACCTCCTGTCAAAAGGCAATCAGTAGGAAACCCTCTAACAAGTAAATCTGGCTTTTGACATAAAAAGTTGGTTTGCCAGGATGATGTTTTTCGGATGTCAAGTCACGATGTTCTTCCTCTCGGGTTGTCTAAAATTGTTCACGCAGAAGCCACCTCGTTACAGGTCATTTCTGCCAGCAGGGGGCAGGGTACTGGCTAGAGGAGCACATGGTGGATGGCGTCTGTGTTCACAATACAGGACATCAGCAAGACGCACTGGGATTCACCACAGGTTGCAGGGGGGGTGCCTAAATGTGACATCCCTCTGCTCAGGGGCTCAGGGGCTTGGCGGCATCAGCTCTGGGGGCAGGGCTGAAGGAACCCTAGAAATAATCCGCACACCCATTTGTTTCCAATTTCCCTACATTAAACAGTGATCATCCTTTATGGCCCACCCCACCCCACCACTCCCTGGAACATCTGGTCAGTTTTACGTCCATGGCCTGCTAGAAATCAACCAGGGAAGACAAACATCTGAGAATGAACTCTAGGCAGGTCCAGAAAGTCAGAACGACTTCTGAAGTATCCAAAGCACCCGGGTGGAGGGTCTCACTGGTGAGCTTACTCAGTGCTTGACATAGGACACAGAAATGACCTGAGAGGGGAGGGAGACCAGGCCATGGTCTTCTGGATGCCACCTGTACAGGGGGAGGTCTATCAGGAAGGGTTCAGGTTTGGGAAGCCCAAGTGGAAGAATCGCTTGAGGCTGGAAGTTCAAGATCAAACGGGCAACATAGTGAGAGTCCCCAGTCAGGTATGGTGGTGTGTGCCTGTAGTCCTAGCTACTCGGGAGACCAAGGTGGGAGGATTGCTTGAGCTATGATCACCCCACTGCACTCCTGCCTGGGCGACAGAGTGAGACTTTGTTGAAAAGGAAGGAGGAGGAGGAGGAGGAGAAAGAGGAGAAGGAGAAGGAGAAAAGAGGAAGGAGGGCTGCAGATGTGACTCCCACAGAGTCCTGCCTGGCCATGTAGAAGCAATGAAAAGTGCCGTCAGAGCAGGGGCTTTTTTCCGCCTCACGTCTCACACACTGTGCGTGCTTCCTCTGGACTTGGCTGAAGAACTGCCTGCCCACCACAGAGCCCTGTGTCTGAATCATAAACAAGCATGTCAGGTTCCCAGCTCTGTAGCCCGGAGCCCCTCTGCTCCTTCCCTGAGCTGCCCTCCTATGCCATCAGTCTCTGTTTTATGCTTGCTCCATTAAAACCATCCTGTTCCCTTAAGGAAGCCCAGTCACCCTTGGCTCCTGATGTGCCCCAGAGCTGGGCCAGTGCATCATGGTCTGGGATGCCCACTCTGCTCGGGAAAATGGAATGTCCACCAGAGAAGCCCTGCAGCCCAGGCATGTGCCTGGAAAAGCAGAGATTTCTCCCAACTGCCTTGATGCTTCTGAAGAGTGTGAAGTCACCTACCCATGCATGTGCCATGTGACCATTCACATCAAGACATTCACAGAGAAGGCATCCATCCATTCATCCGCTTAAAAAAATCACAGGACATCAGGACCTTTAAGTAAAAAGTATTTACATGCTTTGGGTTTTTTGTTTTTGGTTTTTGTTGGGGGAGTGACAGAGAGGAAGTCAAGAAGGAACAGGTGAAAACCTCACCCCGAATTGTGAAATTGGATCTTCATCAACTTGAGGGTCAAGTCTACACTTGGTATGGCAAAGGACCTTTGTGAGGAGGCCTTGGGACTCCTAACACAGCCTCCCCTCTCTCCTCCCTGACTCCCAACCTTCCTCTGCCTACATTTTCCTCTTCTTCCCCTCCCTGGCTCCTTCTCCATCACCCTGAGGAAGCTCCAGCCCCACCTCCTCCAGGAAGCTTCCCCCAACACCCCAGTTTGGTGTCCTTCCTCCCCGTGCTACAGCTCCATGGCCTGGACGCTGGCTTTGAGGCTTGGCCCCCATGTCCAGCACAGGGAATATCTGTGTCTGTGGATAGATCACGATGGTGGTTGGGACAGAAGCAGGGTTCAGGCAACTGAGGTTAGAGATAAGCAACAAGGTGAACCCTCTTTGTAGGCCTCTCGGGACCCTGCCAGAGGGATGGCCATGTGAGAACTACCAGGCCTTCCTGAGAGGGTGACAGAGGACTCCCTGCCTTGAGGGGCACCAGGCAGACAAATAAGATGACATCTATGAAGTGTCACCTCTGATGCAACATGCTAAGTGCGAGCCCCATAAGTAACTCAAGTGGCTTGTGCAGTGTGGAGACACATGCCAGCCATGTGCCCTGCCTCTGGTGTTCTCATTGTGCACACAGCCCCAGTCAGGCGAGACATCTGGTGGAATGGGAACTGCAGGAATCAGAGGATGGATGGTGCCCCACTGCGAGAAACAACTGAAGGCATGGTGGGTGATGTGCCATTGGGTGCTGGGGACACAGAGGCCGCAGGGCACGGAGGCCGCAGGGCCGTGATTCACACAGAGAAGAAATAGGCAGGATCATCCTCCCACTCCTACAAGAAAAGATGACAGCAGGACACTCTGCTCACATACCCAAGTATGGATGAAAAGTGACATTCCGGGTGAGCGCTTCCCCAGAACAACCCTGGACAGCAAAGGGGCAGAACCAGGACCAAAGGTCTCCATCAGGGGTGGGCCAGGGGTGCCCCCTCCTTAGAAGCAGCAGGGTCCCAGTGCCACAAGAGTTCGCCAGTGTCAGACGCGAGCTCGCGGTTTGGGGGGTTTCAGTTCTCTAGTGATTGCCATTTGGCACAGTTCAAATGTGATACTACCCTCCAAGGGCGGACGCTGTTCATGTTCATTCTGTTCAGAGCAAACTTACGTCCACAGAGACACATGTGCGTGCGGTTGTCCCCCCCACCCCCTAGTCGACAAGCCCTCTGGCATACAGGAGTCATGAGGACAGGGCTTGTCCCATCTCTTTCTTATCTCAGGTTCCATTTATGACCTCGTGCATCCTTACAGCCATGCTCCGAGGCAAGCCAATGCAGCGTTGTGTCCCCGCTTTACACAGGGGATGACTGGGTACTGAGGATGGAGAAGCCACGGTGTGGTCACTCACGGTGGTGTCAGATTTTGTTTTGGGGCACTTTCGGCAAAAGGATAGAAAATAACAGAGTTGGGGGCACCATGGCTAGCTGGCTTTCCTCCTCCCTTTCCACCCTCTCAAGATGAATCTCTCTATAATACACACACACATACACACACACACATACACACACACACACACACACAGTAGGTGGTATAAGCCAGCACCTGCGCTGCATCTTGTTGACCTTATGCAGGAGGACACTTATCTTCAATGAATGATATCAAGGTGCTGGTGGCCAGGACAGTATCATCCACACTGAGCAGGTAACTGAGAACCAAGGTCCAGCACCTGTATTCACTCCTCAGAGCACATCAGTGAGAGTCATGACCTTGGCAGGTTCCAAGACATCTAAAGAGGGCACAGGGCCCCACAAGCCCAGCTGGGGCATGCTGGAGACCCTTGCCCACCCAGCATGGACACTGCCACTCACTGTTTCTATCTAGAAAGTGTAAACTTGAAGGAAGAGATACTTGACTGAAGGAAACTCAGGGTAGGTCAGGGAGGACAGGAGATGCCCAGGTTAATACTGCACTCAATGACCAGAACTACTTCTGACTCAAGAGAAGTGACTTTCCCAGTCAAATCACTTCCAAGTATGACTGCGTGCCTGGGTGTGTATGTGTGTGCGTGTTGGGCGATGGGAGGAGGAGGAGAAGGAAATACATGCTAGAATACTCTCAATGTCAATCCCACCTGAACTCATGTTATATTCGAGCAGCATCTTTGCTGGATCTGCAGTGGTGAGTTAAATAAACTCACATCTTGGCTAATCACCTCAAATCTCCCCATCAGACACTGCTGGTGTTCAAAAGAAAATCATGGGAGCTGCCTCAATGGCTCTGCTTTGTAGACTCTTCTGGTAGCT